CTGGTCTCTGTAAGGTCCCAGGAGCTGCTTCCTTCCTGACCCCTCCCTTGGGGCAACGCTTGAGTCCCGCCCACCCGCCCACCCCCTTCCCTGAAAGATTCAGCTGAGACTTCTGGTGCGGCTCAAGGTAAAGCAGAGATCTCTAGTAGAGGAAACAAATTTGCATGAGCAGCCCTTTCTCTTCAGGATAGTTGATAAAATAGGCCTGAGGCAGCCCATCCCCACTTTGAGGTCCTCAGGATGGCTGTGTCCACTGTGGCCTGGATTCCTCTCCTGCTGCTCCTCTCTCACTGCACATGTAAGAGCCGGCCTCAAATGGCCAAAGTCAGCACTCAGGCCCGAGTCAGACCCCTCTGGCTTAGATGCCCAGCAGCTTCACCCTGGTTCCTGCCCATCACCATGTGTGTCTGTGTTTGCAGGTTCCCTCTCCCAGCCTGTGCTGACTCAGCCTTCCTCCCTCTCTTCATCTCTGGGAACATCTGTGAAACTCTCCTGCACCCTGAGCAGTGACTTCAAAGTGGGTGACTTTTGGATACGCTGGCACCAGCAGAATCCAGGGAGCCCTCCCAGGTATCTTCTTACATTCCGTTCTGACTCAGACAAGCACCAGGGATCTGGGGTCCCCAGCAGATTCTCAGGATCCAACGATGCATCAACCAATGCTGGGATTTTGCTCATCTCCAACGTCCAACCTGAGGATGAGGCTGATTATTACTGTAACACATATCATGGCAGCACTAGTACTTTCCACAGTGCTCAAAACTGTTGGGGAGGTGAGACAAAAACCTTCCCACGGTATCAGGGGGTTGGGGGTGGGGAGTGGAGTGTGCTCATGACCATGTGTAGGGTTGGAAGACAATGTTTCTACAAGTGTATTAATATATTCTGTAAGAAATCCCAGGTATATAAAAGAGCTGACAAGGGACAAGGTTGTAGTTACTTCTTGGCCACAGCCAACTACCTAGAGGGAGTAAGTAGTTGGACCTGTGGGTTCAGGATCATAGTCACAGGGGACATCAATCTCAATTAGCATAACATACTACATAAAAACATTGTTCCACATCCTACTTTGGCAAGTAACGATTGGGATCTTAAAAGCTTGCAAGGGGCCATCTAGATGCAACAATGGGTCTCTCCTCGACCAGAGCAAAGAAGAATGAAGAAAACCAAAAATGCATGGAAACAATTAGTCCAAGTGACTGGTGCACCATGTGATCCTCAGCCTATAT